CTCCCTCCCTCCCTTCCTTCCTTCCTTCCTTCCTTCTCATTCATTTGCACATTCATTCACATATTTATTAAGTGTCTACTATGGGCTTTGCTTTTTACTTCTTGTAGTAAATCATAAGAAAGAATAAGACACAAATGTGAGCCGTAGGAGATTATGGTCTAACAGGAAACATAAGAGATGGACAAAAAACAATCACAATACAGAAAAATGTTAATTAAATGCCAAAAAAGAAGCAAATAATTTATTCTGGAAATTTATAGAAGGAGTCATATGACTTTAGGGCATTTCAGTGAGAAGAGAAGATATTGTTAGTATTTGTAGATCACGTGTGTGGAGGGCACGGTTTACTCTCTCCCCAGGATCATAATGACTGCTGTATATTGTGGACGAAGAATATAAGCTTTGTCATCAGGAGGACCCCGCTTGTATAGAGGCTCTGGATTTTGCTTAGGGACATTAGGCAGGCACACTTCTGTCTCTAAGCCTCAGATTTTCTCATCTGAAAAGCGGAGGGAGATAAGAATATCTACCTTCCTTGGGTTACTGTGAAAATTGAATCTAATAATGTGTGGGTAGCATTTGGCACATAATGTATGGCCACAAAAGCTGTAATGACTGCCCTGCTGCTGCTGTGCCCCTGCTGCCGGTGTTAACAGGCGCTTTCATAAGCTGCTGCCTTCAGCTGACTGCGAAGGCCCAACTGATAGTGCACCTAGGCATTTCAGTTTGTCACCTTTGGAGAGAATATCTTTATTTTTGTCTTAGAAGGTCAGTTTGCATGTTGAGAATACATAGTTATTGGGGAAACCAGGGTAAATGATCCAATCTGATGCTGAATCTGGTACCTGTATCTAATAAACATAATATATGTCATATTTTATGCAGGTATGTGTGTATGCATTAGGTATGTGTGTATCTGTGCAGTATTTTCCAAGTTGCTAAGGAGATCCTTTGTCATTTGCAGGTCGGCGGAAGCAGAAGTGGGCTGTGGATCCACGAAACACTGCGTGGAGTAATGATGATTCGAAGTTTGGCCAGAGGATGCTGGAGAAGATGGGGTGGTCTAAAGGAAAGGTATTTTGGAGAAGAGCAAAGGAAATCAGAACCATGCAAAGAGATTACAAGTTAGGAGAATGCATCTTTCTTAGGAGGCAGAAAAAATTATGTTTTGGTTCAATAAGTGATTTTGGAGAAATAACTAAACTGTAGTGACCTGTGATTATAAAGTTAGAAATGTGAGCTCTCTTTATCATTTAAACTGCATGATTAGCATCTTTCATTTTTCACACACAGTGCCTTTTAATTAGTTGTACTTGGAATCATACTTAACCATCAGAGTTTTATGTTGCTAAGAGTAATATTTTATTCCCCTTTATAGCTAGACTACACATTTTCTACTGTTCCTCACATTCCTGTTATTCCTCACGCAGATAGAACTTCTACTGATATCTCTACACTTACTGGTTCTTGTCAAGGTCTTTAATGACTTGTTGCCAAATCCAATGGACCCTTCTTTGTCCTCATGTTAATTAATCCCTTAGCAGCACTGGACATAATCGACTACTTTCTTCTTGAAATACCTCTGTCTTGACTTCCTCAGTACTGCTTTCTCTCTTGTCTTTTTCCTTCTACCTCACCAGCCACTCCTAAATTTGTTGCTGGCTCTTTCCCCTCCAGACTTGAGCTTTGGAGCCTCAGGCCCTTTTCTATACTCTGAACTCATTTATGCCATACCATGCTTGAATTATCTAAATGTTGAGATTATCTACTTCTGTTTCTTTTCTGTAGCTAGTCCAGATCTGTCCACAGCTCCAGATTTATAAATGAATCAGCCTGCTTGACATTTCCACTGGAGTAGTTGTCTCAAGTTTATCACTTTTATTATAAAACCCTTGATACCCCGGATCTTTTTCTTCTTAACTTTCTCCATTTTTGCGAATGGTACCCTGTCTACCTACTTACTCGTGCCAGAAACCTGGGAGTCATGCTTGGTTCCTGCATCTCTCCCTTTCTGCGCCCCTCTCTCCAGGGCATCGTCCTGGTCCAGCCACCGCCATTGCTTGCTCTGATCACCACAGCAGGCTATCTCCTGCTTCCCTGCCTCCCTTTGTTGCCTCCTCAGGGCCATTTGCCATATGACATCCAGAATGAACTTTTAAAATACAGTACAGAAGTTAGACCATGTTCAGTGGTTTCCCACTGTTTTAAAGACTAAGATCCAAATTTCTACCATAGCTTCCAAGGTCCTGTGAGGTCCAGCCCCTTGATTTCCTCTTTATTCACTGTGCTAAAGCCAGCCTTTAGGTTCTGCAGTACACCGAGCTCTCTGTGTGTTAAGGAGTGTTAATTAACACAGGGGATTTGGAGTCCCTTCTTCCCCTTTCTCAGTGTTGTTTTGTAAAATTAGTTAATGGGCAGAGCCATAGACTCATAAGACCTCCGACGGGCTTCTAATAGTTTTGTGTCAGAACTCTGATTCAGACCATTAGAAAAAGGCATGTTCTCCATAGTGTTTACGTGAGCCTTCAATTAGGTCTCAGGTTGAAGAGTCAGTATTCATTATTGTAAGTGCATTTTTTGTAATACAGACATGTCTTACGAGAACTCATTAGACTGTATTCTCTTTGAGGGCGCAGGTAATGCCTTGCTTCTAGACATTTAGTAATTAATTGAATGATTGATGAGGGAAGATAGAGATAATCATTCTTTATACCTGATAAAAAAAACTAACTCTTTTTGTGTTTAATCTCCACAGGGTTTAGGGGCTCAAGAGCAAGGAGCCACAGATCATATTAAGGTTCAAGTTAAAAACAACCACCTGGGACTTGGAGCTACAATCAATAATGAAGTGAGTGACAGTGTGTGCTGGGGGTTTTCCTTGCATAGACGTTTTTGCAAATATATAAATTTTAAGTCAATCCAGTTGATCAGATTTTAACTATTCCAGTGTGTATCCCCCGTGTTTTGGTTAAGTTTTAGCCCATAGCTGAGCTGGCTCTTTATCATGAGCCCTGTCCTCTTTTTCTTATTGTCTTCATTGGGTCCTTTACTTGCTTATGAGTAAGAGATACAAACTACAAGTAGTTTTATTGCTCAACTTTGCAAAAACTATTCTTTTTATAGAAATACTCATTTCAGGACAGACAAGAATTTTTCTCTTTACCTGTGTTCTAATATTAGCTTATATTATTAAAAGTTGCTGACATTTAGTTTCAGAAAGAAATTAAAAGATTCTTCTGCAAGGAAATGGTGTTCTTTTCCTGTACTGTTGTGTTTCTAACTGTTGGCATACAGCAGTTAAATTTATTCACATTTCCTTTTAAACACTGATACTTTGTAAATATGACACTGTAATTTAAAATTAATGGCCTATCCTACCATGCTTTTCATTTCAGTATTATTTTCTTTAGAAAGCTTTGTTCTTAAATTTTTACAACCAACAGAATCTGGTAGAAAACCTTGAGAATTTCTTTAGGTAAACTGAGTTACTTTGGTTAGTTCAGCAACAACGAGTAGTAGACTAGATCAGCTAAAAATTTCTGGACTAACAACTAAAATTTTAAATTACTAAAGAAGGAGTTTATGTAAGGTTACTTTTGAAGGTAGTTGTTGAGAGGTAGATATACAGATGTACTTAATTTTTTAGGAGAAACATTGCCCAATAAACCTATTTAATGTGCCTTAACCTTAAACAGTCTTAAAATAGTGTGTATGAGGCAAATGCCAACATTGACACCTTGCTTCCCACTGGTTTAGATTGTTTTGGAGATGTTCATTCTCTCTTAAAGCCAAATTCTCTTTGTTATAATGAACTTATCGCCTTACAAATGGATGCTGACTGATTCAAGGAACTTGGAGTTCTTTCTCCTCCCTTCCTCAGTGTTATTTTGTAAAATTGGGGTCCGTGCCAGCAAATAGAATTGGGTAAAATATTTGAAGTTCAAATGAGCAAAGGAGAGAGTCCCCAAGTCCATCACTGCTTTATTCCTTTAACTTACATAATTTTCCCTTAGTGAGAAAAAAAAATTTATTTTGCTTTATTTTAATATTTAGCACACAGGTTGCCTGTTGATTATTTGACTATAAATTGACTATTGATAAATTATCCACACTTGAAATCAGGACTGAAGCTTCCAAGAAGCTCATTTTTAATACCAAAATAAATACATTGCATTTAAAATTTACATTATATTATTTGAATTTATACAATAACATTTTGATGAAACATTTAAAATTTCATGTTAGCCACCAGATTTTCTTGATCCTAAAATATATCTTATCTCAACCAGTCTGTAGGTAAACTACAGACTTGCCTCTAATTGATTTTTTTTTCTTTTTTGTATTTTCAGGACAACTGGATTGCTCATCAGGATGACTTTAACCAGCTTCTGGCTGAACTGAACAATTGCCATGGTCCAGAAACAGCAGGTAGGGGAAATCTTTGCTTTGCTAGCCATTAGATTTATAAAAGACATAATCTCTCATTTTAAAATATTTTATCTGCTATTTTTACTGTAAGCATTACATATCCGAAAGTTAACTGAAACTCTTAGAAGCAGTCTTTTTTGTTTATATTTTAATAGTGCTTTCATTGCATGAACCTTTCTCATTGCATGAAAAAAGCAAACACTTTTTTCTGATTTAAGAGTTTGAGAATGGCAAGATAAATCCATCAGTTTGCAACCTCAAATAGCAAAATGAAGAGATCCTTGAGTGTATCTAAAAACATATTTCTAAAATACAAAGCAAGAAATATCAATTGGGACCATAAATTAGCAGCCAGCAAAGGCTTAATAGAAAACCTTTTTTTGCATTTATTCTACTTAATGAAATTGTTTTCCCTTTTAATGTATGTAAGAAATTCAGATTTCTGGCGTATAGTAGAATTTGTTGCAAGGGGCTCGGTACTAGAAATTGTACTTCCAGGCTGTGGGAAGTAGAAATGAAACAGTTGAATATTGGGCTTTCCATGTTAAATTAACAGAAAGAGTACTATTGGGGGAAGGGCATGGATGGGCCAAACTTGTGGGCCTTTGGAATGATTGTAGAATTTAAAGGAAGTTTTTTATCACATGGCTATTTGGAAGGCAAGGATGTAACTTCAGTTAATTCTGCTGGATATTCATTGAAGAATCTAGACTATTCTCCTGCAGACATTTTTTTAATTGTGGTAAAATACACATAACATAAAATTTACCATCTTAACCATTTTTAAGTGTGCAGTTCAGTGACATTAAGTACATTCACATTGTTGTGCTACTATCATCACCATCCATCCATCCACAGAACTCTTCATCTTGTAAAACTGAAACTGCCCCCATTTAACATTAACTGCCCATTCCTCCCTCCCTCCAGCCCTTGGCAGCCACCACTCTTCTTTCTGTCTCTCTGAATTTGACTAGTCTAGGTACTTCATGTAAGTGGAATCATAGTGTGTGTCCTTTTGTGTCTGGATTATTTTTACTTAACATAATATCTTCCATGTTGTAGTATCTGATGTACCATTCCCTTCCTTTTAAGGCTGAATAATGTTCCATTTTATGTACTTACCCCATTCTGTTTATCCATTCATTCATCAATGGACACGTCTTCTTGGCTCTTGTGAATAATGCTACAAACATGGGAATGTAAATGTCTCTTCAAGTTCCTGTTTTCAGTTCTTTCTTTTGGGTATATACTTAGAAGTGGAATTGCTGGATCATACAATAGTTCTGTGTTTAAATTTTTGAGGAACTGCCATGTTTTCCATAGTGGCTGTACCATTTTACATTCCCATCAACAGTGCATATGGGTTCCAATTTCCCCACATCCTCACCAACACTTGTTATTTTCCGAGGGTTGTTTTGGTGGCCATCCTACCTGGTATGATACCTCATTATGCTTTTGATTTGCATTTTCCCAGTGATTATTCAGCTTGAGCACCTTTCATGTACTGTTGGCCATTCATGTGTCTTCTTTGGAGAAATGTCTTTTTGAGTCTTTTGCCCATTTTTGAATCAGGTATTTTGTTTTGCTTTGTTTCTTGAGTTATATTCTGCAAACATTTATATAAGGAATTTCTATTCCCTGTACACAGTGTTTGGCATGTAGTGAAGTCAAAGGGTGTTTGTTAAGTTGAAGGAGAAAGAACTTTGTGGAATAAAATTTAAAATTTAGGCTTGAATTCAGCAAACATTTATTGAGCTTTGTGCTGGATATGAAGTTAGACTTGAGGATATGCAGATGTATGAGACATAATCCCTGCTTGGAAAGTAGCTAGCAGGATATACAAGTAATTGGTAAAATTATAGCATGCATCTAAGCATGTGGGAAGATATATTGCAGTGCTATGGATGGGTGCAAGCCCAAAAGCATCAAGGGAGAGGTACTCTGTACTTTTGCTTATCAGTTTGGACTTCTTGTTGGAATCTATAACTTGGACAATTTTCCTTATCCATGGCATAACTATTAGAACTATCCTATGTGTGGTCCTACATAAAAGATGGTAATTTGTTAGCCAAAGGAAAATGTTTTGTGAAAACTGACTGGACTGATATTAGGAAATGCAGGATCTATGCAGCAGTAAAATTCAAGGACATTAGCCCTTACTAATTATAAACAAAAAATCTTTATATTTAGGATCACATTTGAAACCAGTAGAAATATAGGTTTATATTTTCTATTCGATCTGGCAAATTTTTCTCAGCATGCTTCTGAGATTTATCCCTGATGTATTACTGAAGTGCAGTCAGTGAAATGCTTAATGTGACCCAGGGAACTCTATTATTTGTCAGGAAGGTAGTAACTTGCATGACAGATTCCAAGCAGTGGTGCCTTGTTCTTGGGCAGCCCTTCCACAGGTTCATCTGTGCAGGCTGATTCTTTCTTTTCTGCATAAGACTTAGAAGTAAGTATCTTGAGACATTGGCAGAATAGTTACCAATCTGTAGATTAAGTTCCACCTCAAGACCACTAGAGGGTGCTGGTAGCCCTGTGATAGCTGGGCTATGCGATCCTGCAGTTGGTGGCCTGCTTCCTATCTTGTTCAGTACTGTCTGAACCAGGCCTTGCTAAGTGCCAGTACCAGTACTGAAAAGCCTTTAGGATATTCCTTTAAGGGAAAACCTATCAAAGACATGGACCTGGAGAGCTAATAGATTATTTTGCTGCCATGTCATCTATGGTAAATACAGTATCTTTACCCAAGTGAATTTTTGGTCACAGTAAAGCTGAAATTATTGCATTAAAGCTGAAAAGTGGATGACACAATATAACCCAATAACATATTTTTTGCTATAATAATATTTTTACTTTCTTAAGATTACTTACCAAATTCACACAAATTACCTTTTAATTAAACAGATTGCATACTGGACCATATGAAGAGGACTCTTCCTAGAATCTTGCAAAGATTCTAGAAATAACCCTTATCTCTTATGGGACAGAAAGATCAGTATATTCTGTAAATTTTAATTTTTTAAAAATTGTCTTGTCTTATTAGTTACTCTCTATCAGACTCAACTTATCTTTTTGGTGGACTTAATCTCATGGTTTTAGGAAATGTTAGTTACTTCCACCAGATATTTTGTTCCTTATGATTTTAAAGTGGGGTGCTGATGACCTGTCATCCACAGAGGTGTGGTTTAGGATAGGGATCTTCAAATGTTTTGCTCACATATCCTCTAAGGGAATTTCAAAATGCTGTATACCTTATTTCACATTTTTATATCAACATCTATTATGCTTTTAATCATAGCTTTAAATAGTTGCAAAGTACTATAATTTCTGGCCTATTAGGAAATACTGGCATTTTAAAATAAAACCATTATGTTAATCCCGAATGTATTCAGTAGATAGATACCAGAGCAATTTGATACCCATTGTCATCTGTTTAGAAATATGCAAACAAGTCCTTAATAGTCAGGAATATTATATTCCTAGTTCCTTTTCCTGTGAAATAATATTTCTATTGCATGTACCCGATAGTATTTTATATTAGTAGATTTTTAAAAATTTATCACCCTGCCACAAAGTAAACACATAAGGTTTTGGTTTGTTTCTAGTAACCTCAAGGCTTTAAGTGTAAATATTTTTCCTTTGGATTAAGTTGTTATTTTAATTAGTATATTATAATTACTAAAACCAGAAAATATATTATAAATTTTGTTAAATAATTATTAGAATAGTAAAATCTTTTTGGAAGTATATCTCTCGGTGAGATGAATTGGTGTGGGGGGGGACTGCTTTTCCCACTTTGATTAAAGGATGCTTCCCTGACACCAGTACTTTGGCTTGTTCCTTTTTGTCTCTGCTAAGAAGAGAGTTGTGCCTTTCTTTTGTCAAGTGGGTGGGAGACATGTGGGAGAAGTGGAGAAGGAGAAGCAGACTGATGCATCCACTCCGAATCAGAGCGGTTTTAGGAAAGAGTGCACATGGACAAGTAGATAGAAACTGATTCCCCAAAGGTCTGTCCTTGTTCAGATATGTTTTGGGAAGTCTGTGTCCTGGGAAGATGGAGAAAATAGATCCCCAGGTGGTTCTTACATCCTCCAAAGTGAGAGAGCAACTCCGCTAGGGCACAGTGTAGTGGTCAAGAATGTACAGGCTCACTCATATCTGCCTGGGTTTGAATCCCATCATAGCCCCCTCCTAGGTGTGCCTTATTTAACCCATCTGTGCTTCGGTGTCTTTCTGTGAAGTAAGTTTAATAATCATAGCAACTACCTGATAGGGTGGCTATAAAATGAAGTAAAAAAATGCATAGAAAGCTCTTAGTCTAGTGCCTAGTACTTCATAAACCTTCAATTGACAGTAGCTATGCTGATAACTTGCTAGGTGATTTGTGTCTGGAACATCAAAATTGAGAGTGTTATGTGCCATATGAAGTGTTTGGCCACAAAAAGAGAAGAAAAACTTACTAGTGGGAAGTCTTTTTTAAAAAAATCACAAACTCTTCTTGGGAAGTGACTGTAGAAGAGCCTGTTTCAGGTTGCTGATATAATTAGCTCATGTGAGGCATTGTCTGAAAGCTTTACACATCTATCTTTGCATTGTTAGAGTCTTACTCTATAATTTATACTTTGCTTTTGAAATTACCAATTCCTGGGAGGAATTATAGTTAACATGTTGTTCGACGGACTTGAGCTTGTTTTGCTCCAGTATTAAGGCAGAATTTTCCTTTTTCTGCTATATCTAACTTCATATTTTTATTTCCTTTCAACATAACTACAGGAAGATTCAGTGTCTTTCCTACCTATGATGTTCTGTTTCTATTACTCTGTTAACTGAACTTGATGAATAGATATCGGTGAGGGAATATATGCAGCTTGTTACTATCCTATAATTGACTCTACCCTCCAGATCTCCTTGCTCTGATATTTCAACCGAGGGACTTCTTTATGGCTCACATTTTCTTGTTTTGTCAAAGAAATAACCACATGACTTTGTTCCTCAATGATTTCTTTTTGTTGTTGTTTTTGCCCTTAAAGGTGAGCCTCCAGTGAAACCTAATATTTGAGGCAGGAGCTCGGTGCAGCTCTGCTCCTTTACACTCTGCCTGATTCTCATCTCTGATCTGGTTTTTGATGATCGTTAACCTGTCTTACCTTTATTCACTTAGTTTTCTTTATTTTTATTGTTGACATTATTACAGATGTCTCCATTTCCCCTGCTTTGCCTGCTTCCACCTGGCCCTGCCCCCCCACCTTTATTCATTTTTTAAAGAACTTTTTATTTTGAAATAATTACAGATTTATAGGAAGTTGCAAAAATAGTACTACAAAGAGCCCTGAGTACCCACCACCCAGTTTCCCCCAAAGTAGCTGTAGTGTAATATCAAAATCAGGAAATTGACACTGGTGTTGTCTGTTAACTGGACCAACAGGCCTCATTCAGTTTTCACCATTTTTTAGCCTCATTTGTGTGTGTGTGTGTGTGTTTCTGTGCAATTTTATCACATGTATAGATTCATATCGCCACTGCCACAATCAAGATATAGGATTGCCCTGGCTGGTATGGTTCAGATGGTTGGAGTATCATCTCATACCCCGAAAGGCTGTGGGTTTGATTCCTGTTCAAAAAAAAGATACAGTATTATTTCACCACCACAGAAAAGCTGCCTCATGCTGTCTATTTTTATTCACACCCACCTTCCACCCCTCTAACCTCCAATACCCCACTTTCATCTCTGTCCCCTGGAAGCCATTCATTAGCTTCCCCCCCCCCAATCTGTAGTTTTGGCATTTGAAGAATGTCATATAAATTGAGTCATATAGTATGTAGATTGACCTTTTTCACTAAGCATAATGCCCCTTAGTTCCATCCAGGATGTTGTGTGTATCAGAGCTTATTGCTCATTATTACGGAGTAGTGTTCCAAAATAAGGGTGTACCAGAGTTTGCTCAGCCATTCACCCATTGAAGGAATTTTGGGTTATTTCCCCGTATTTTACTATTATGAATAAGGGTATTCTATACATTGCTATGTCGGTTTTTGTGTGAACACAAGTTTTCATTTCTCTTCCTCGAAGACTGTATACATTTCTGGAAAATAGTCTCTCCTGATTGTAGTACATAGTTTAAGAAGAATATTTCCAACCATTTGGTTAGAGTTCAATAATAAATGGTAGGGTTTCAAAATATTTTATTTAAATAAGACCATGTCACTGTAAGAGAATAAATGAGAATGGATTACAGAGAGTTTAACGTGATGCTTTCCAATTTTTTAAGACTCCTCCTCGGACAACAAGGAAAAGAAATCTTTCAGCCTTGAAGAAAAGTCCAAAGTCTCCAAAAACCGTGTTCATTATAAGAAATTCATGAAAGGTAAAATTAAGCATTTATTTATTTGTTCTTGATACCTCTTTGTTCACACTGGGTTTCTTAAAGCATTTTTAGCTCTTCACCAGTGTCACATCTTGTTTTACGTTCAAAATGGGGAATTAGGGGTGGCCTGACTGGGTGGATCTGAAGCAGTGCTAAAGTTTCAGTATTGTTAGTCCATTGGGGATCTGGTTAGAGTGCAGGTTCAGATTCATTAGCTCTGAGGTGGGGCAAAGCGGCAGTCAACTTGCTAATTAGAGTTGAAAAGGGACTTTAAATGGCTAGGTCAGAAAATAATTCTAATTAATTGCTCAACATTTCTAGTTACATTTTATTATTTTTCAGAGTTTAATGCTGGTGTTGAATAGCTCCTAAAATTTTTCAATTTGGAGAATTATGCTCTGTAATGAGATCTCCAGTATGAGAAACCTCACTCCCCAGTTGATTCTTGTATTATTCCACACCATTTCTTCATTTCATGGAGTGTAAACTTAGGCATTCCATGGTCATTGCGAAGATAGAGTTACGAAACATGTTTGAGAAGTAGGTGGTAAATCCTGTCTTCCTCCATCAGACCTCCCATCCTCACTCCCTTCCCAATAGTCAATTGTGAGTGCAGTTGTCCGTTTTAACCACTAGGTGGCGGTCTTTTGTTGGTTAAGAAACAACTTAACTTGAACTTACCAACTCCCCAAGTTTTTGCAAAGAACAGTATTCTGCATTAAAGGCACTTACCAGGCGCAAAAGCCTATTTCTTGCATAATATACTTAAAATATAAGTGTGGTGATAATTTATATTGTGATACCTAGTCACCATTTGATGGTTCTTCTATAGGATGTACATGCCTGTCTCTTTGCTTTAGTCTCATTGGCATGATTGGGAATTCCCTAACTCCTAGAACCCACCTGAATAGCAGTGGGAGCTGAAATTCCCACCACTTTAAACTATTAATGGTGGTTCTTATTGGGACACAGGACCCTAAAAGGTAGGAATGAGTTTGGTGTAAATGAGAGCCAATGGCAGAGCTGAATGGAGTGGGGAGCTGACTAGCTTCCGGAATGTGCGCAAGGAGAGACTGGTGCTTCCCCATGCCTTCCCAGCAGGTGTGGTTTGCACGGCTATTCCTGTCATCCCCCTTTCTCCCAGGTTAGAACCTTTGTTGTTTCATTATATGGCTTCTGATCAAGGTTTCTTTCCCCCAGACCTGCTGCAGTCCTTGTTGCCCCTTCAGTCCTTTTGAGAGGAGGCTAAATGGTCGCTTCATACCCAAGCCCTCAAATGTGCCTCCTTTTCTCATTGGACCTTATAGAAAAAAACTTGATATAGCAGGAGGGTACTGAGCAAATTAATGATATTAAAAGTGGCCTATAACTTTTCGGTGGTATGGCATCCTTTTAAGCTTTCACTTTTGCAAATAAAACCTTCTGATTTTCTTTTAGTACCTGACTACATGCATGAGTTCACCTGAAGCATTTTTCTGAAGCCAGGATAAACCTCTTTAATCTACTTTAATCTAATGGATGCCTGGAATATCTGCTTTCTATTTCTCACCAGGTGACCCTGTCAACCTGCTTGGTGTGTTGTGCCTTCATTCTTATTTAAAATGAGGTGTACTTATTTATTAGTCTTGCTTGGGGAGCTGGGGCATTGCTATGCAGAGAAGAGAGTTCCAGATACATTTTGAGAAAGTAGAGGAGATTGAGTGGGAAAATAGGAATTGCAGATTGGGAATAAGTAGAAAGATGGGAGAAGGAGGCAGAAATTCAGGTAGTGAAGAAAATAATTATTTACCACCCATCTTAACAATCCACAGGGAAAGATTATTTTAAAGTTCTTTAGTTGCATAAAATAAATTTTTTCTTGTAGTGCTACTATTGTCACTGGATATGAATGATAGACTGTTTCCTCTAAGGTAGGCTGTTTTAGGTCCCAGGAAACCTGGGTGCTGGCCATCACTCTCTTAGACAAATCACTTAACCACTTTCCTTCTTTCAGACTCAGTTTCCTCTTTTGTAAAGTGAGGAAAGATTTTTAAGACATTGAGTTCTAAAATAGGTTCTGCTTTGATTTATTTGCAATGACCCCATTATATGGAACTTTTGATTGTTCAGCATTATGGATAATAATGATTTCAGCCTGGAGGTACACTTATAATGAAAGTAACTAATTCACTTGCTGATGAGGATGGGTCATATTGTAACTTCATCTATAGTCCAGGAAATTAAAACGTGGGAAGGTGGCATTTTACATAGCTTAGTGTGAAGAGTGAAGATAAAAATTCTGTTTTAGTGAGATGACAGTAGCAAACAGCATTGTAAAATTTGCTATTGCCTCAATATTGGCCATTGTTTTAGTTCTGATACATTATTATTTCTTTCTCTAGTCCCAAATTTATAATTTCAATTTGAAAAATTTATTAGATAACTTAAAAAGTTAATTTCCTCCGTATTTGTTTGCAAGCCTAACTTCAACATGGTTTCTTTTAATTTGAAAATTGTTTGGCAATGCCATATCTACAGAGAGGAAACAATAGGGAAAATATCATTTTCTACAAAACCATTTTCTATATGCAGTGAGAAGTTGTTAAGAGCATTGCTTTCTCCCCCCAGTTGTGCAATGGGTAGATAAAAAGTTGCTTAAACTATAGTTGTGCAACTTCATTGTGGTAATTTACTCAGATTTCTTATCCCTATGACAATTTGTAGTATTTTGCTTCTTAAACAAGGAAACTGCACACACAGCACAGGCCCTGGTAAGATGGCTTGCTAGTCTGGAAACACAGATGGTAGTATATCTAGCATGGTTAACTCCTCCCCCTCCTCCCGCAGTCGGACTCTGCTAGTGATGGGTGTTAAATTTCCTCTTCTAATTCTTTTGACATTTAAATATAAAGTAGCACTATTGCAGGCTTTTAAAATATTCTGGCTATCTTGTTATTATTTCACCTCTACTCCGATTCTCCTCGTTTCCTGGTTTTCTGACATTACCCTTGCAAGGAAGTTGCCATAATCTTCTGTCCTAGGCTTATCGGTCCCATGCGTTCTCATTTTTTTTTTTTTAATCAAAAAATAATATTGTTTGTTTTATCCTTCTCGACTGGGGAATGCAAATAATTTTTCTAAGCAAGGGAAGCTACCTACTTTAAGTTTTACTTTTTATTATAATAAACATATTTCTCAAACCTGCATTTTCTTGTCCTTGCCCCTTTACTCTGAGTAGAGAAACTCAGGCTTTTTGAGCCTTAGTTATAATACAGTGCTATAATACAATTTTCTCTTTAGACCTTGTTGGGTTTTACATGACTTTTGCCCTTAAACTAAAAGGCTCCAAATCTCTGATTCTTAAGTCCTTATGTTTATTTTTCATAGTGTCCTTTGCTTCCTTGTGGACTTCTTGGTGTTGTATGTGTGCCTGCCTATAGCAGTAACATTGCTCCCTTCCAGTTTTTACTGATAGACTAGAAAACCCCATACACGATTGTTAGAAAAACAGCTGAAATGATCATACACTGCTTTTTCGTCTACTCATCCTTTCATGGACCTTTGTTACATCAGCTTGACTACTGGAAGCATTGGTTCCTGGTTCTTGAAACGTTCTGGCCAATTGAAGGTTAATAGATACATGAAAAAATCCAGACAGATAACATATTTCGTGGTCTGTTCAATTTTTTTATTGCCATTTTCTCTAAGATCTAAGTTTATCAGCAGTATTTGCTGTGATTTGACTACCATTCAGAATTGAGACCAGTATGCTTTTAAACTCTTTTTTAATATGTATATTTTATTTAAAAGTGGCCATAATTTTATAACATTTATAAGCTATTCAACCAGGACCATTAACTAATAACTATTTCAATATCTCTTCCATCTTCCTTTTTTATCTACCTTGAAGTTTCTTACCCTTAGTCCCTGATTCTTAATTCTTCTCTGTGTTTTGTTTTCCAGATCAAATCCTCAGCAAGGCCTGTAACAATCCTGGTTTCTACATTTACTTAAGCGAACTTTGCTAAAGGATAAAAATGTCTGATACAAGACTCCATCACCAACACTAGAAATACTTGCACCCTCCCTGGTATAGCGTTCACTGTCTCTACCAGCCTGGCAGTTTCCCTTTGATTTTGAGATTTGCTTTTCATCTCTGTGGGGTCATATTTTGTCATACTGTTTTAAAACTGTAATCTTGCATGCACCCTCTTTTTCTTAATCCCTCCAGCATTCCTTTTAGTTGAATTGCTATAAAAGAGATCTTTATTTGCATTTCTTTTGGAGTACCTGTTCCATTTCAGAAGATAGTTTAGGATAGATGACTAATACCTATTTTGAACTAAGTACAACTCCTTGTTCTGAAATAGAAACCGCCACCCTGAATGTGCTCTGCAGTGCAAAATGACAGACTGATGACAAAGATAAGAACCTCCTGAGGGTTTGTCCACTTCTCCCCACCATGGCCAATTTTATTCCCCACTCTTCTGGTTCATTCTCTAAGATCCTGTCTGGGACATGCTTCATTTTGTTCTTAAGTCGATTTCCTTTGGGGTATTTTTCTGGGTTCTACTCAATAATCAGAACCAGGAAACCTTTATTTCTAGCTCAGGAAGACAGAAGAGAGCAGCATAGAACCACAGAGGAGCGTGTCCTTCCCGATAGGAACTGGTCATACTGACTGGACCAGTGAAACTGCTGCCTATGAAACTGGTTTTGGCACCTGGCTTTGCATTAAATCGAAGGGTGTTTTGTTTTTTAATTTCATGGAGTCACTGAGCAATATCATATTTGAATGCCCCAGTGATAGTCAGTGAACTAGAACCTTCTGGGTCATGACATTACTTTGCCAAGTCAGTTTTGCTGCAGGAAACCAAGAAGTGAGTCCATGACAGTGGAACTCGGGCTTCCAACTCAAAACGAAAATTCTTGTGTCCAACCCAGATCTGTACTCCCCCAGAGCCTCAAGTCTTTACATGTAGCAGTTACATTTTAAAAGGAATTTATCCTCAAGTTGACAAATAGGAATGGATTTAGTCGACTGCTCACAGAGTATTTTTGGTAGAAGTGGAAATTCCAAAAAGTGAATTTTAAATGACTTGGTTTGTGGTTTGAAATTAAGTTAAAGAGTTAGTGTTTTTAATAAGAATCATGGGTCTTTTGGCCACTGCTTTTGTGAGAAGCCATTTAATTTCCTGCTTTTATCATGTATCCTATCATTTAAAGCTGATAAGCAAACTCTTTCACCCTAATCCAATACTTTTTATTTGCATTTATTATTTTAAAATTTTCATTTATTCAATCAATTATTGAGCTCCTCTGTGTCAGCTGTAGTGTGTTCTCATTTTTGTGTGTGTGTGTGTGTGTGTGTGTGTGTGTGGAGGGGGGCGTCTCTGAAGCTCTGTGTCCAGTGGCATTTTCTATTCTGCATTTCATGATCCTACGTATCTCGTGTCTCCGTGAAATAAATAAATATTTTATAAACGGGGAACCCAGAGGCACAGAAATGGTACCTTGAAGGCGTGCCAGTGGTGGGGCTGGCTTTGGAATTCAGTTTTCCTCTCATTCTATGCGCTCTTGGTTGTTTCTACCATAAAGAGAATGTAAGTGGTTCTGGTTCTCAAACACTTACTTGATTTTTAAGTAATTTTAAAGTTTAATATTATTAGTTAACTAAAGAATTTTCATCTGTGCAGGGGAGACAGAAAGAATTGTTTCTTTTTTGAAACTCATTTTGCTTTCAGGCGTTTCATAGCTTATGTGTATTCTCTGTCTTTTAGAAAGATTGGTATGACTAAAAGGCATCATGTTGTTTTTCTAGGGAAGGATCTATCATCTCGGAGCAGAACAGATCTTGACTGCGTTTTTGGGAAAAGACAGAGTAAGAAGACTCTTGAGGTATTAAGTCACATATAGCTGATATGTTCTCTTTCCACAGTTTGATTTTCTACTGTGTATAGAACTGTTTATTATGAATAGTAGTTTTCAAAGTTACCAAAAAAAACCTTTTAGAGGCTTCTTAACAAAGACTAAACATGAGCCTCTTAATAGTTGGTAGATAATATGTTTTATAAGGAATCTCCAAAAAGGATGTGTGTTATCTGGGTTTTGTTTTTGTCATATGAGGACTGGACTAAAGTCGGGGATGAATCCTGTGGCTGATTTATTGAAGAAGAAAGTATCTCTCCCGTCTCCAGGAAAGAGGGAGGCTAGTGCAGCGATTTCATTTGCTTTGCTCAGACTGCATCACTCTATTTGGAATATGGCTTGGGGAGGAAAAATATCATATGTGTAGTCCCATTCTGGTCTAGTCCATTTTTAAAACATCTGAAACAGTGTTGAATCAGCACTGAGAGTCTGGAAGGAATTTAGGTGCAGTATTTCTTCCACTGTGTAATACTGTTTGTTTCAGAATTAGAAGAATAGTGTGACTGAACTACATCCTAAATGGGATGAATCCATAATTCATAATCCTAACTATTAAATTGGTCTGTGCGATATAGCACAACATCTTTTTGTGCCAGTTCCAGCTGTAAGAGACAGCCCTGGGTGTAGTTTGGATGTCAGTATTAGAATTTTTTAAATATGGGTTTTTAGAGATAATGGGATCAAAATATTTAACATTGATATTGTCTGTGAAAATCTGGAATATATGGTTACTGCAGCTGTTACTCAGCTGATCTGGTGTGTCATACTTACATCCCTGCACTGCTTCCTAGCCAAGGAAGGCCCTTGGTGACTGTAGAACAAAATAGAGTTGTTTCATTTATTTTTCATATTTCTCGAGACTGAGAGATTTCCCCTGGATAATAGCTATTTGTTACTAACATTATTTTCAAAGACTTTGGAGTGACCAGTTGTTAGAAATTTTATTTGGCAATTTTCTTTGCAGGTTGAGACTAAATTTTTAGTCTTTTAGCACTTTTCTGACCCTATGCTTTTAGCAGCAAGGACAGATGAAGCAGGCCCCAGAAAGGAAACCCAGGCCCCGTGGCTTGCTGAAGAGTGGTGCCTGTAGGTCTGCTGAGTCATATCAAAGGCAGGTGGGTCAGTAGGGAGGAGGTTCTAATATCAGGTCATACGGGATGCTTCATCCTCAAGAGGCTGCTAAAAAGAGCTGCGGTCACCAGACAGCCCTGCTTCCGGTCACACCTCTACCCCTCAGTGGTTAGTGTCTGGCCTGGATCAGGCCCTCTGCCTGTTCACTGAGGACTTTGCATCTGCCTTATCTCAGTCTTCCTCTCGAACCCCTCCTTTGACCATCATCATGATCAGTAATTTCGGGATCCCCAGGGAAACTGTTACCTCTGCTCTTCCCTGACAGCCCGCTCCTGTGGCCACATCGTGCACCTTTGCTTCAGCCCCACATCCCTGCTGGAGCCGGATACCACCTTTCTGCTCCCACTCTCAGGCTGGCGTTCCTGCTGCACGGGCTTTTCCAAGTCCTTGCGTTCCTGGATCCCTTGATTCCCCCTTTGCCCCCTGCTGCCAACCCTTATGTCCCCTGCCCTCCTCTTCTCCAGCATGCTCTTTGCAATTTTACAGTTGAGCAGATCAGGGAAGGAGATATTAGTTATGGGCTTTTGGTAGAACTTTAAAAGAATTTATGTGGTAAGCACAAGAAAGTTTTTTGTTATAGAAATCAGAGAATTCTAATTCTCCTCAGACATCTCCTTGAGGACTTACTGGCGTTAGGTGCTGCGAGGCCCTCAACACTGTTTGGTGTTACTTGACTTTTGGTGGTGTAGTCATTTGTGATCATGGTAAAGTGAGCCTGTATTCCAGGAGCTTCAGAAATAGTTGCCCACTACCCACCCAGGGGAAGTCTGTTTCAGTGCAATTGGTGCAGAGAAGACCCACCTTGATAGAATAATATCACTGTATTTAGTGCAAGATTTATATCCAGGTGCATCTCAGTCTTCATTCTAGTTTAACGTTTTCTTCTGAGAAATCCTTCTGAAATCCTAATTGCTTGGCAAGGTGGATTTACGTCACGGTGCAGCCCTTGATCTGTAGCCCTGGTTCTCAACAACACTTGCACTTGAATCGCCTAAGCAGCTTTTAAAAAAATGCTAATGCCAGGGTTCTACCCCAGGCCAGTCAAATCCAAATCTTGGGGTAGGGTTCATATGTAAGTATTAAAAATAAGAAGGAAAAAAAAAATTTAATTAAAAATAAAAGCCTAGCCCAGCCAGGCGTGGCTCAATGGTTGAGCTTCGACCTAGGATCTAGTCGATCAGGGTTCGATTCCCGGCCAGGGCACATGCCTGGGTTGCGGGCTCGATCCCCAGTCGGGGGCGTGCAGGAGGCGGCTGATCAATGACTCCCTTATCATTGATGTTTCTATCTCTCTCTCCCTCTCCTTTCTTCTCTCTGAAATCAAGAAAGATATATTTTTTAAAAATAAATAAATAAAAATAAAAGCCTGCCCAGGTGATTGAGATGATTATCCTAATGTGTAATAAGGAGTAAGGATTGAGAACCACTAGTAGAAGCCGTGATGTGTAACTATTTCAGGGTGGGGCAAAAGTAGCTTTACAGTTTTTCGTATGGAAAAATAATGCAATAATTAATAAGTAATAATATAGGAATAAACTCTGTTTCCCATACTCACAACTGTAAATTTACTTTTGCCCCACCCTGTATTTGTAGAGCTGCTGGCTTTAGGATCACAAGTATTGCCTAGGACAGGGATTCTCAAATCTTAATATGTACACACTTTATCTGGGGATTTTGTTAAGCTGCAGATTCTGGTTTGTGAGGGTGGGGAGGGACCCAAGATTCTGCTTTTCTGGGAGCTTCCAGGTAATGATGGTAGTGATGATGGTGGTGGTGGTGGTGGTGGTGGTGGTCATGGTCATTCTGCATGGAATGCACCTCGCTTAGTAGGTGGGGCCACTGCAGTTTTACATTTGACATACTGCATGTATATATAAGATAGAATGTATTTAAATCTAGTTACATTTTCAGACAACAAATCAAAAGTCAAAGTTACTTTTAAATTTAAATTTTACATACACTAGGATTTTCGTATAGAGAGTTTGCTTTTATTGAGGCACACCTGAATAAAGTGTTGCTAAGAAACCTTACCTGTTAGTTAAAACAGCCCTTAGAGCCAAGGGCGGAGGCCTTTGATCAGATCTGTTTGAAAATACTTCTTTTGGCTCCAGTTCTCAGTTGGAAAGAATATTGCTTTGTTTTTACTCCCTTGACCCCCATAGCAACATTGGCCTGAATTTATATTCGGCATTGCCAAGGCAAAGGTGCTGCTGCAGGTCAAGTACCTGGGGAATCTCAGAAACATGACAGTACTGACTGTTAAAGCAGTAAGACATCCTTGGTGCTCTGGATAATGTGCTGATACTGATGTCCCCGCGTTTACATTTAGAGAACCTTAGACATTGTCCACGTCTGGCTGGGGGCAACATCATCTCTCCCACAATAACCCAGGCTTACTAATTTCTACAACCCCTGACTGTTATAATAACAAAAATTACAACTTTATTAATCATCTGTGTGCCAGGTATTATGTTAGACACTTAAGGTAGTATCTCATTTAACCCTCATAACAGTCCTGTGAAGTTGGCATTAGCACCTTTTTAGCAATGAGGAAACGGAGGCTCAGAAATATTTGTTATAAACCTTCGAAGTGGCACAAATGGGATTTAAATCCAGGTCCCCCTGACTCCAAAGTCAGTGTCCTTTTCCCTCTACCACAGTACTGCCATTGCATTAAAAAAAAAAAAAAAATCTACATCTAAATGATTTTAGTTGTACTTTAGAAGTTTTTTTTAGATATTATCAAAGACGTAAGTAGTTAAACTTTATCGTAACTTTGTGGAGAAATGATTGGCTGTTATTCTCATTTTGCTGAAAATAATATTTGACTTTTAAAACTTCTGCCTTGCCTTCAGTCAGAGTTGAACTGTTTTGGGTTTAGCTCATATTACAAACCGCTGGGCCAGCTTTGGGAACGATTTTACTGTGCCATTGGAGCTGTGGGCTGAATTCAGAAAGAGCTAGCTTGAGTTTTTGGAGCATAGATACTGTGTTACTTGTGCATTTTCTGGTCTCTCAAATGAAATGAGTGATCTGAATATATTTTTATTTAAAAAGACAGCAGCTCTTGATTAATAACATGAGAGTTTTTTTAACTTTTTATTTGAAATAATCTTAGACACACAGGAAGTTACAAAGATATATCAGAAGTTGAGAGGTCCCATGTGCCCTTCACCCAGTTATTCCAGTGATTACATCTTATATAACTACAGTGCAGATGAAAACCAGAAATTCACACTGCTGCAGTCTTTGTGTGGAGTTCTGTGCCACTTATCACACTGGTGGGTCCTGTAACCACGGTCTCGATTAAGATGCAGACTATCCTCCCACCACGGAGATCTCCCTCATGCAACCCCAATTATAGTCACACCCCCTCCACCACCATCCCTGACCCCAACAAGCACTGCTACCAACAGAATTGTCTAATTTGAAATAGAATATATGTGAACAATCTGATCTCTCTCAGTTTGATGCTGAGTCTGCTCCTATCAGTAATGATCAATACACAGGTTTTAAGGGCCGACTGTAGTTTCCCTGACCTACCTCCCACTCTTATTCATGCTAGATTTTATGTCTTCTATCATATGGGTCTTTGGAGGAGAAAGCCTTGTAGAAATCAAATCGATCATTTGATGTCTTTAAAGGTCCAAACCTATTGATTAAGTCATTTACTTTAGTTATTTTGGAAATGTATCAAACTGTAAAGTGATATATAAATACAAAGTTCTATCATTATTATGTGACAGTTTTGTCATCTGTAACATGTCTATAGGAGAGCTCCTTGGGCAGTATCTCAGGGTACACTCACTGTAGTGAGGTTAGTGAACTCCTTTAAACTG